TTTTCCTTAATAGCTTTGGCTATACATATGAAGCATTGTTTGTCTATTTCATTCCACTACAAAGTCCTGGTATCTTTGGCCGGCTAATTAGAAAATCCTGTTAACATCTAAGACAAAGTAGGAGGCGTCTATAAAAATCCAATATTGTATAGAGTTAAAATTAATTGGGCACTTGTAAGCCTTGCATTGTGCATACTGTATGTTCTATTAAGGCTTTGGGTCTTAAAAATGTGTCTTACGCTGATTACAAAGACCGGTTTTGTCTGGAAATAGAATGGCAGCATATTGAAATTATATAATTTATACTTTTTGTGCTTCAAAACTTTTTAAAAGAGATATTGAATGTGCTCTTAATGAGGATTTAATCAAATGCGAGTTCCGGCAGAAACTAAAATATAAAACATCTATTTATATATTTTGCTTAAATACTTAAAGACTCTTTGCCCGCCTTGGCGTATGAATGGAGGGGTGAGACAGTGTTGGGTGAAGCTGAGAAGAACGGTGCTGAATAGTCAGTTACTATTGGGGAGCTGTGTCTACAATAGTTCCTAGTAGAGAATGGCTCACGAGGAGACTAACGATTTACTATTAAAAACGGTCAAAGCAACTGAGAGCTTACACAAACTTATTAAAAACGGTATTGATCAATGCGCAGATGTATAACTAGTCAACATCAAGCAAGATTTTATGAACCATGCTTTGAAAAGTGAAAGTGGGTGAAGCAGGCGATAGGCACGTCCGATGCTCCCAAGAGAATCCCTTCTCCACAGAGAGCCAGAGAGTGAAGTAAACAGGTCCATCCTTATCTATCCAGGCAGGAAATGGCTTTTGACATGTTAGAGGGCGCACATTCCTCGACTATTTTACCACTTTGATTAATACCGGTGCAATGGTGGAGGAGAAAGAAAAGGATAACAAGGGAGGTAGGGGCCAAACACGCGGAGAACACTGGAGAAGCCGAGTTAGCCCTTATCTGCTGCTTGTAGCTTGTATGCACCTGCGCCCTGACAGCTTTTCAATTGACTGAGGGCGCACTTCCCCTTTCGCCCTTATCTTGTATCTCCACACTCATCTTCTCCCATCTCCCGGGCCTTATCGCGGCTGCAGCGCTGGAGCCGGCCGGGAGCCAAGCAGTGCTGCTACTCTCGCTCCACTTTGTCGATCAAAAACCGGCACAAACCCCACGACGACGAGCACTCTCAACACCGTGTTCAAAATGTTGCAGTCGTTTGCAACTTGAGGAAGAAATGATGTAATACAAGTTATGAAAATGGAAAGCAGGTAAGAGAGTAAATATAAATGTTACAAATAAAGTTAGGAATGTAAAAACACCACAAATACATTCTATTCAATTATGAGATCCAGTATTTTCACCTTTAAAATATTAAAAGCCAGACCTGTATAAATATTTTTGGAAAAAATACATGCATTGTAGCTGGGATATTCTTTGACTATTAATCAACACTGATTTTACTAGCACTTTGTAACTCTGGTCTGTGAAAGGTGCTATATAAATAAAGATTACATACTAATACTACTAATCCTACATCAAAGTTATTTTTGCAATGGCAGAATCTAGGGATGCACCAATTCAGATACTGGTATCGGGTCGATACCATGGCCTGTACTCGTACTTGTACTCATACCAAAGGACCCGATGCCGGGCAACCGATACCCACATTTTTAATTTACATTAGCATCACGACAGCAGGCAGCTGTGCACGTGTTACCATGGTGATCTCTGAAAGTTTGCAGCGAGCAGCAAGAGGAAAGCGAACTGTACGTTGTGTAAGGCAAGACTGTCATGAGGTGGGTCCAAAACAAACATGTATAACGCCAGCAACTCAGCTCCGGAGCTAACTGGAGCTAGCACCGGAGCACGAAAACAATTCTAAAACATAACATTTGTGTGAGTGGAATAGGACAGTGGCTCTTATTGTTCACTGATAATACAATTGGAAAAATGTCTAATTGTTCAAGTATTTTCTTATTGTTGAAATGAGAAATAAAACAGTTTGAATTTCAGTCAGAATTTCAGTGTTGATATTATGAATTCCCAGGGATAACACAATCCAGTACTCGTATCAGTATTCAGTATTGACAAGTCATTTAAATTAAGTTACTTGTACTCCTATCGGTTTTGAGAAAAGTGGTATCGGTGCATAGTAGAATCTACAGAATATTAGCTTTGATTATTCAAGTGATCATCACTTTATAACTTCCAAGATGACATCCTCAAATGCAAACATACATTTTAGAACAAAAGTATAATTCAGTTAGAAAGGATATAAGGAGGAGGTGTGTGAAATTGCAGTATAAGTCAATGCCACGTACAATGCAAAGTAGTGCGACACAGAAAACAGCTCTTTAAAACAAGAGCCAGAATTAGTTCTGTGTGCTCAGTGCGGTGTCCCATGGTTTTAAGTCATTATGAAGAATCTACAGATAAATTGAGGCAAACAATGTTATACCAAAATATTAAACATTAACATTAAAAACAACGTTTAATCGTATAATTGTTTCAGCCCAAAAACTCAGGTAAGTTTGGACTCAAACCTGACTATAAACCAAAATGGACAAGGAGTGAATGCATGCTTTCCCTCTTTTTATACTGCTTTTGTGCAAAATACACTGAAAATATATAGGCCATGTTTTCTGTGTGTCTTTTTCCTAAATCAGCGCTCCAGTGACCGGTAGTCTCCAGTAAAACTTTGGCTTGTCAGAGCACCCAACGTTATCAGCCAGTGATCTGGGATCCTTTGACACAGGCAGAAAAGATCTGACAAAGACGGGCTATTAGAGCTACTTCCAGCACCAGTGCAGCAGACAGCTGGCCTTGTTAAAATGCCTCAGAAAGTGATGTGAGCACTTTGACGTGGGGCTGCCTCCGGTGTCTCCATACTGCTGCCGGTTTATTACTTTTAGGTCCTTCTATGTAAAAACGCAGATATGAATTGTAACAATTCCTCATGATTCAGTGGGTAGTATTGTGTAACAAATATCTCGATAAAATGCAGTTTAATGTACATTTTATTGTTTACTATCTTCCATCCATCCATCCATTTTCTACCCTTTATTCCATTTCTGGGTCAGGGGGGTGGCAATCAGAGATGCCACCCAAGTCTCATAGCACCGGCCCTCACTGACCCTCTGCAGGTGGTGAGTCCACAGGAGGACGGCTGCTCTCTGAGTGTGAGCATAGCCTTGATCTTTCAGTGGGGGCTTTGGGCAAAGTGGGGTTAAGTGTCTTGCCCAAGGACACAACGACAGCAGTCATCAGTGGGAGTTGGTGGAGAAGGTGTAGAGGTGGGTTTACTATCTTGTTGGTCAATAATTCCAGTGTGTATCACTGATATTTCCCCACTGTGGGACAAATAAAGGATCTCTTAATCTTAATTAATGGAAGGAACACTTAACAATGAGACACTTAACAAATATTTAACAATGAGATATAGGCGTAATACATTTTCACCATACAGCAGTTAAGTGCTCCAAGCTTTTCTACAACAGTCAAATGTAATAAAATGCACTCATCCAATGTACTTCTTAATATTTTAGTGAATACTTCTTATAGCACTTCCATTTTGTGACAAGAAAGAAAATGAAAAGTTTCATAAACAAGACATTTGCAAGGGATTTCTCACTGGTGGGTGTACTTTTATCTAGCACAAAACATTGTAAAAAAAGATGATATTTGAAGTTCACTTGGATTTGAAATAAAAACTTGCTGAATCACATTGCATTGCTTGACATTCCCGTTGACTGCAGGATGTAATCTTTGTCTTTCTATCCTCTATCAGGACCCTGTACCCGACACTTAGCTGTGACGGAATGGCTGAGTGCCCTGTGCTCTGTGCTTGGTCCAAACTCAGGGCGCCAGCGTCAAAGCCCTTTTTTGCTCTGAGGATTAAACTGGATTAACACATCCCACACACACCTTACAGTAGCTTTGTTCTGCTACCGTGCACCAGGGGAAACTTTAACAAAGTTTACAAGACAAAGTTAGACTGCCTCAATCTGTGGAACTACACTTTCCTATATGAAAATGAATGTTTTAAAAAAGAGTTTGAATGACACCCACAGAGATCTCAAGGAAAAGAGTTTACAAAATAATACACACGAGCAAAATATATGAAAAATGTGATGTGGAAAATAACTTCAAGCGAGCAAGTCAGCAGCACTGAGGATGGAATTGCCATTTATTCTTCAGTGGAAGAATGCACTAATCCTGCGTTCCTAATTACGAAATATAAAAACACATCACACAACCACGTTGCAGAGTATGAGAAAACATTTTGACTGGTTTTGTCCGTCAAATTAACAATTTGTATACAAAATCTTAAGTACATATAAATCTTATGTAGCAAAAAAATATTTGGGAGACATTTCCAACAGTCTCAGAATCCCATAAAATGTATTGTTTTGAAAAACATGTGAATTTCATTGTGTACATTATGTTATATTATCCCCAATGATGTGACAGGGATTCCCTCATATCTTACACTGGCTCCACCATTTCTTTAATAGCTGTCCATTCTCCACATGCAGCATTAAAAGCTTGTTTGTTTTCTAGATAACTTCACTCACCATGTCACAGCACAAGCCTCATTACCGCCTCAACACCAAATTTACCGTCTCGCTCGGGTCTCTACTGTGAATTGTCGAGCGGGTGTTTTACAGACTGCAGCACCAATAATTAGCTACCTTTTCCCCGGCTGTGGCTCATTACAAGTCGACAGTGAGCGTCCGAGATTGGGAAAATGGGTATTGTTAAAGTCTGCTTAATTAAAGGAGCCAATTAAAACACTTATCACATTAGTGCGGTCGACTCTGGAGGATATTTGCATGTTAACCAGTTAAAAATGAGGAAAGATGACTATCTGTGGCACCTTATTAGTTTGTGCATGTGTGGCTCAGGGCTGCACCCAGAGGGCTATATGGAGTTAACATGCAACTGCTTTTTTAAAGTGGAAAATAGCCAGCAGCGTGCGTTTCCTCACCTCACGTGTTCTTCAGTCTTGGAGGCAGCTTGGTGGAACTCGTCTTTGCTTTGCTCGTACTCTTCTCGATTCTAAAAACACACACGATTTGGGATTATTGACACAGATTCAGAGTTATTGACATGTTTGTTATTTTCAAGATAAAAGGTAATGCTAGCCCAGGGAATTTCACACCTGGAACATATACTGTAATACATGTGGAGAAGGGAAGATATCCAATTGATGGTTAATGTCAATCCAAAAATGCAACTATCTAGCATTAACAGAACTAGTTATATAAACAACATAACTAGTTCTTTGCTCTCAACATAGTTTAGTTAAATCAATAGTTTTCAGGTGCATGTATTTTCACTCTTTGTTTGGATTCGTAGGGGACAACAGTAGCTCAGTTGGAAGAGCATTGGCCTTTGAGCCTGAAGGTTGTGGGTTCGAGCCCACCATGAGTCCATCCACTGACTATGTCTACTGTCGTTGTGTCCTTGGGCACACTTTGCCTGAAGCCCCCGCTGAAAGATCATCCTCCTGTGGACTCACCACCTGCAGGAGGATCAGTGAGGGGCTGGTGCTATGTGTACTGGGTGGCATCTCTGGCCCAGAAATGGATTAAGGGGTAGAAATGTATGGATGTTTGGATTTGTTTTATTCAGAAAGAAATGTGAAAACGAGAAAGCCACTCTTAAGCTCACCGCACACCGAAACGCAGCGCCTCGCGGCGCGTCATTTGACGCGCGTTCATGACATGTGTCAAATTACACCGGAACGCCTTGGCTAGCGTCCTTTTCCAGCTGATCGCAGATGAAATGGGTGAGTGACGTTTGGAAGTTTCTACTAATATTTTGGGGGAGGAAACAAAGTATTTACGTGAAATTATGCTGGCAAATATTACAAGAAAAGACTATTTGGACCCATTTTTTAAACAGGCTAATAACTAGCTCTGGGTAACGCTGTACTTGGGTTATCAAGCTTTCCTCGTCCATTGTGACCGGTTTACTTGAGCAATAGCGCCGACAAGTGTGTAAATTTGAGACCGCGCTCACAGCTACGTGATAAGAAGCGCAGAAGAAGAAAACTACGGGTGCTTGGAGGGACAGTTTCAGCCGCGGCGCCGCGTCTGGATTCAACAAAACTGAATCGTGGCGCCCGGTCCAGCGTCGCCGCGCGTCACTGCAACCTTGGTGTGCGTTCTCTCATAGAAAATAAAGGAGGCGGCTCTTTTGCCGCGCGTCAAGGCGTTTCGGTGTGAGTTGGGCTTTACTCCACTCCCAGCCTGAAGTGACTGACAGGGCTCTTCAATTTACATTACTAACATTATCTTACAATTATGTAGACTGTCATAACAGCACATTATAACACTCCTCCACTGTACAACTCACAAACAGAAAAAACTTGATTTCAAGCGTGTGCAATACATGTTTTTATTTCAGCCCAAGTAGAATATAAGCCATCCTGTTGGTAATGAGCCGCATTACTCATACATTTTTAAACACATTTTCTGACTTACCAGCCTGCCCAGCGAGAGAAGAAAGAGAACAAAACAAAAATTCAGGCAGGCAGTGGTATTATGATAAAACAAGCAACTAATCCTCAACAACTGCAGCCTCTCCTCTGCTGATCCTCCGGGCTTAGGCCTCCCAGCATCCACATATTTAACCAGCAAACTGCACCAGCTGGGGAGGAGAGGAAGTGAAAGCAAGACGCAAGAGGAAAGTGGAAGAGGAAAGAAAAATGTGGTAGAGGTGAGAAGGGTTTCATGGTGGTAAGGGTATTCCCATTGAAGGAACTAAAAATAAAAATAAAACAAACATATAAAATACAAAATCCAGAAAATTAAGAGCTAAAATTGGTAGCGTATAATAATTGAGGAACCAGAATTCCTTATGGACGTCCAAAGGCTGGTGCCATGATATAACTATTATATCTGGTCTGTAAACAGTCATTTGTTCCATATACTGTTAATTTCATATGTAAGATTTGTATAGCAATTTGTAAGTGCTCTTCTCAAAATGACGCTCTCTATTTGTGCAAAGAGGATCCATTATATTCAGTGCAATTTGAAACAGAGCAAGCAGTAAGTGGTTGATGAGCTCCTTCACATCATTGCAGGGGTAACAGATGCTTGGTAACCGATGCTTGATGTGCCAGACATAATACACCAAAGTTAGTTCCACATTCATTTGGAATCGCAAATGTCTTCATTCATCACACTTCATTAACATAAAGTCGCAATGTTCTTCACTTTGTACCTTTCTTGGGTGTATCTTAATATATAATTTCTGCAGATCAGTCTATAGATCAGCCTTTATGACCGAGTTCCAACTTTTATTGGGGGGATATTTGAGAGAGGGGGATAAAAAAGCATCATGTTATCTTTCAATTCCAACTGATTTATGTTGTGGTCATGATATTTAGATCTGGATATTATGACAACATGTATGTATAATTTTGCATTTGCGAAGTGATGGATTTTTATGCTTTTAAAGAAAATTAAAATCATTTCGACCTGCTGTCTGGTTACCACTCTGCTGCCAGACTACAATAGCCAAATGAGCGATTCAGTCCGTTTGTAGGGCTTTTACTGGGACGATTAGGCCACCTGCTGCCTCCTAATTACATGAAGCTCCATTCATACCTGCTCATCATGTGCACTCTCAATTTTCACAATATGCTCGAGTGATTCCTGAGGTTTTTCTTTGTTTGATGCTTCACTTTTACCTCAATGAACCAGTAAAGGGACAAAAACAAGATTCATTGCAGAAAGGGCTTTACAAACTCAAAGCAAAGGCACTTAAACCGTATTTCAAAGCCATAGGAGGGTTGCTACAAGTAGTCAATGAAAATGACTTCAAGGACACAGCCGTACAGGACTGAAAGGCTCTTGGCTCAAATCCAAATGGTTGTACTTTTTATTGTGGATGCATTCCACATGTGTTTTTCAAAGGTTCCAGAAAAGTAAATAATGACATACTTTATCATACTAAAAGTGTACACACCCAGGAAGACCCTAATTGTTTTGGCCATATTTTGGAGATTATGAATAATAACAAATTTTTCACTCACAAATAAATGGGCAGCTTTACCATCAGAGACATTTAAGAACCTCATCCACAACTACCACAAAGGATTTCAAGTATGTGAAAGCCTTTTGACTGGTCATGTCCGTCAAATTACAATGTCATCCAAATTGGAAAACCACTTTCACACAAACTCCACTCAGAAAGACCCTGGTCCGACCGGGATTCGAACCCAGGACCTTCTTGCTGAGAAATGTAGCAAAACAACAATTTGGAAAACATTTCCAACAGTCACAGAATCCCATAAAATGAAATATTTTCAAATAAAAGGATTTCAAGCTGTTATAGATGTTAAAGGGGGCACAATAAATAGTACAGACAGCCTTGAGAACTGAGGGAAGAAAAGTTATCAGGGTCATTAGAAAAGTTTCTGTTGTCATCTTTGTTTTAAAATCCTGTGTGTGATTACATGCATTTTTTGACAGAAAAAAACTTTCAAATGTATAGTATGAATTTGTATGTATTTTGCAAATACATAAACTATTGTTTCACAGAAGCTATATGTGCTCATATCGTCGACTGCTCCGGTCAGATTCACTTGTTGAAAACGCTGCATTCTGTTTCTTTGTCATGTCATTCAAACTGCATAAGTTTGACTTTGCTGCCTTGATTGCAAACTATTTTATTTGCGGTGCAATTGTCACAAACTATTGACAATTAGCCGAGTTTTGGACTGGAAGCAAATGGACAAATAGACTTCAAAGCCATGTGAGCAAACACACAAGGCAAGCTTTGATGTGTGAGCGATGTTAAAAACCCACACACATGATCTAACCTTTGGTGCTGAGCTGACAGTGCCAGTGACATTCAGTGGCTCACTGAACACTAAAGTCTTTCCTGTGGCGAGTTATATTGAGTGTGGGGGTTGTGTGAAAAAGAGGTTATCACTAGAAGTAACTGATGTGATGAAGGTAAAATCAGATTAAACAATATATGTTGTTGTAGTTATGTTTACACACATTATATTCCATATACATGAGTTCTAAAGTACTCCTTCTACTTCCATCCAAACACTACATCCATTGTCATTATGCAATGGTATAAATATCCATGTACATTTTTAAGATGGAAATGCCCCCATTATTTTGAGTTTGCAGAACAGTTTAGGGCACTTTATGTGCAAAGCCAAAAGCTCTCTAACCACAACGTAAGAGCATTATAAGCTACATATAATATGTATAAACTACCATATTTGGTGAAAGTAACTTAAAAGTAATTCAGCATGTAAAGCTTTACAATTCAAGTGAATTTTCACAGATGCTCCGGTTTCCCCACCACTAAAAACATAGAGTAGTTCAGGATGATTGAACCCGTGTTTGTGAATGTCACAGTGGGACCACAGATGCAAATGAGCCCAAGGCTACGGAGAGGTGTGTTTATTAACGAACACAGTCCCAATGTTGGTGAGTCCCTGACACTGAGGCTGTCTAGCTTTGCCTCATACGGACATTGGTTGATCTCGAGGTGTACATGATTACTTCGGTCTCCTGTGAAGCTCAGGCTGCTTTGAGAAGAAAGTGGGACTTGGCCCTGGCCCAAAGCAGAGAGGCAAAGCTTCAAAATATTTCTAAGACAATTCATGCATCCACATCGCCTCCAAAATATTGTGCCATTATGAAAGTAAATCCTAATTCTCATATTTATGTTTGATTCATGGAGAGAATAAGTTAACAAACTAACTGCCGATCGCATAAACTCTACCAAGGACAGATGTAATAGTAAGTAAGTAAGTAAGTAGTAAGTAAGTTTGTATTTATATACCGCCTTTTCACTGCAGATCTGAGTCTCAAAGCGGTTTACAATTGTCAATTTTTGGGCATTTGTCTCTCACTCCACACAGAGATGGGAGCGGGGTCGCCAGTACAGGAGGCGCATGCCAGAACTATTGGACATATTTTTAGTGGTAGGGGAAACCGGAGTACCCGGAGGAAACCTACGCAGACACGGGGAGAACATGCAAACTCCACTCAGAAAGGCCCTGGTCCGACCGGGATTCGAACCCAGGACCTTCTTGCTGAGAGGCGAGAGTGCTATCCACTCAGCCACCGTGCCGCCCTAATAAAAAGCTCTCATTATCTCTGGACAGATTCACATGTGGCACAGGCAGGAGCACAGCCTGAAGCAAGTGGAAACTTCTCACACCGTCAGCAGTAGCCTCAAGAAACTCACATCAAATATCTGAACAGGTTTGCCCAAATAATGCCTTTATTCCCGACCAAACACAAAGCCACATACTTAGGACTGCACATCCAGAACACCCACAAATATAATCAAATTCAACCTATGGCTCACATGTGCTCCTACTGTTGTGGAATAGATGTAGCAGCATTAGCTTTCTCATCTGTGCTGAATTGAAACTTTTTTGCCAGCTTGCACATTTGTATAGAGATGCCAGCGCTCTGGGATGTGTGCAGAGTCAAAGTTGAACACTTTCATGCAGTTAAAAAGCCGTCTTCTCAATATGCCGCACAGGCCTGGATCTGCTTATTAGTGGAGCTTGTTAACAATATCTCCACAGAGGCTGAACCCATCTGGAGGTGAAGATAGACATTTCATTATAAGTCAACACTAAACAGTTCATTGTAGTCACTGAACATTTTTGACTGAAAAAGGCACCATATTTGTAAAGAATAAATGAAACAAAAATCATTTGCACATTTAGCATTTGAAAGCATTTAAATGTATATTGAGGGATTGTATCTTTACTCTTTTTAATGATTTTAATGATTGTTTCCATCTTGTTTTGTTTTGCACTTTGAGTTGCCTTGTGTATACAGTGCTATACATATGAAGTTGCTTGCCTGGTCTATTTGCAACCTTAACATTTGTTTTAAAATCAACTGATCCTAAAAAAATTGGCAATAGCCTCAGAAAACTCATATCAGTCTATCTCTACCTGTCATTAACCAAAATAACTCTGTATTGCTATTATATTTTCAGGCTGACTCAGAGGAGAAACTGAAGATGTGAGTGAGGGGGTACAACAAGGAAGTTGAATGTGTATGTTGGGAAGAGTAATGCCGCGTTCAGACCGGATCATGCGTTGCGTCGGTTTTCAATGCAAAGTCAATGGTGACATGCGAACGTCTCGGAATGCATGCATGGACCGTGCTGGGAAGTCGAAGGGGAGGAACGCAGGAGATGGATTTTGCTCAACCTTTCCTCGGGACGTTCGTGCAGCAACCAATCAGCGAGCCGCAAAGTGGTCATGGGGACATTTGCGCCACTCTGTCATACAAAGGGTATGAAACATGGGGGATGAGAGAAAGTAAAAACAAGATATTGAATGTGTTTGAAATGAAATGCTTGAGAAGTATGTTAGGTGTGACTAGGATGGATAGAAAGAAGAATGTAGAATGTAACAGTTAGTAGCAGATACAGTACATGTGTATTGTGATGGCATAGGCCTATGCAGAGAATTTATGAAACGAGTGATGAATAATTGGATGAGTGGAAGTAGGCCCAGAAGTAGGCCAAGGTATGGATGGAATAATAGCATGAAGAGAGAGCTGAATGTGAGGTATGACAGCGGAGGGAGCAAGAGTTTTCTTGCAAAATAGGGAAGCATGAAGAGTGATGGATGAACTGATGTAACCCTGGCAGGTGCACTGCCGACATGAAGGCAGGAGGGCAAACCAGGTTTATTGTTTTTTCTTTAGGGCCCCTTGGCTGAAATCCAAGTAGCAAACCAGGACCATGACCCGCCGGAATGGCACCATGTGGCAGTACTGCTGAGGGGTCCATAAGTGTGAAAGCGGATGAGTATGTGAAAAGAACTTCTTATGATAGTCAATCACCTTCCTAGGAGGAAATTGTTTACGGCTATAGATAGATACTTCCAACGCTACTTATCAAATACTACAGATTAAGTTAAACAGCATTTCAACCTAATTTGGTTGTCATTATTTGGCGTGTTCACCAAATGGTGTATTCAATTCAATTCATTCCTTATTAAGAACACAGAGAAAAACTGGTTCATAGATAAAAAAAAAAAAACTAAAAACATACGTATACAATAAAACTAAAAACAGGAGTACAGGCAGGACCTCCAATGCCTCCATGAGTCAGAGGAGAACCTAACAGAGCTCCTCCTAGGACAGACCAGAGCTTGAATGATCTGAACTTTAATTTCTGTTCTCATTTTAGACAGTCAAACAGCCACAAACGGCAGGTTTATGTGGATCGTCTTGTGTCCTGTGAAAACACACACCCATGCATACATTTACAGTTCTGCTGCTTCTGAATATACAGTCTCAGCCCGTCTGTCTGCTGCTCCATCACATGCCCACAAAGCCCGCTCTGCCGGCAAACATCCTAAGCTCCTCTGCAAACACAGCTTGTGGCAGCCGTATGCCGAGCTGCCAGTCTCCGCTCGCTCTGCAAACCCAGCCTGTTACTAATGAGACTAAGATCAACAGCACGGCATCTGACACCAGGGTCTTCATGTGTGAGCAATGTGGCCCCAAACTGCTCATTGAGGTAACAAATGTTTATCCACGCTGACTCAATCAAAACGGAAATACTCTGGAGGTTGGTGAGAATCGTGGTGCGGGGGATTGTCTGGTGTTTGAGAAAAATTAGCAGAATTAACCAAAAGTTTCACTTTGGATTAAGAATTTCTGAACACTGGTAAGTACAGCATGAGCCCGTTAGAAGTAACAGGTTCCATTAGTGGAGTTTAGTGACTAGAAAGATGCAATGTCAGTATTTTAAATCTGATGTATAGGTCAAATCTGTAAGAGTCATAGACACCGTATAGAAACCGTAATAATTGTATGCACCTTGATTTTTTTTCACTGCATGAACTGTGAAATCTAACAGCTGCAACAGTAGAACTAGTTAGCATGAAACAGACAGAAAACCATGACTTAGCAAGTTGTCCTCTACAATTCCACCTCCTTCTAACACCCATTAGAGAACCTTCATGCATTAGCCATGTTAAGGTGGGCATAACACACATGGGCAACTTGTAAAGGTCTTTTCCATTTAAAAAGAGCGGCAGTGCTTTCTCAGGAGAATCTCGGTAAAAGGTCCGTCCTGCAGGAGCCCGCTGAGGCAGAGACTTAACCACTTGCGCCACACCTCCTGCACCTTTCCTCCTCACTAAATGTCAGACGCACACATGAAAGGAAATGAAAGGATGCTAAGGGCTCTCTGGAGAAGCTAGAGCCTCCTTTAATCCATGTCCTCTTACAAACCATTCATCTGCTTTATGCATTTACCTATACACTGTGTGCTATTCTACTCATGTGAATAAACAACTGTAAAATGCTTTTTGGTAACACACTTTTCAGACAATAGAAAAAGGTTGTCTTATTTATAAAACATACTGTACTGTACATGCAGGGGTGGTTTAAAATATATTCTTATAATTTAGAATAGACAATTTCCCAATACACTTAAATCTGAGATGACAAATATTCCAGACCTGATGTCTCTTCGGGACAGACATCAACATAAACATCCATCTAAACTTTCTACACAGGATTCATTGACTCCTTCTATGCTTTTATTAGCATGATATGTAAAACAGATACAAATGTACGGCCATGCATTTTCTTTAGGGACTTACTTCCACATAGTCTGGGAGTGTCCAGGGGTTCTCCTGGCCTAACAGCGGCAAAGAAGATGGTTGCTAGCCGTTGAAAGCCTCATCACTGGTTAACCATTGTCCATGGCACGCATTCATGTCCAGTGGGCGAGCATGCTCAGTCTCTAGAGTAAATCTCTGGAGTTTATTAAGTATTAATCTATTTGAGTTTTTGTTTGCTTAAGTTTTCCTTGACCTGTGTGTTTGTTTTTGTTTGCTGTTTTTATTTAATCTATGAAAAAAAAGCAAAAAGGTAGAAATGGATCAGAGAAAAGTTGTTTGTAAAAAGTACAAAGGTGAAACTATTAAATTATACCATATTAACGGTTTGGTTCTCCCTTTTTTACTGCAGATATATTGCATACTGCATACAGTAAGTAAACCAATAAGTATTAGATGTATATGGGAAGACTTTGCTGAAGGTGCATGAGTGACGTACCCTCTTTTCCAGTTGTGTGATTTGCGCTTTATAAAAGGCTTCTAAGGCTTTCAGCTGCGAGTCCTTCTTCTGAAGCTTCTGAGCCTGAAACACAAACGCAGTTATTATAGCATTAATGTTTATTCAAGGCACAGGCAATTAATCACAAATAATTAAAAATGTGAAAGTGAGTGATTTAAACCCGTTTAAACAATAACCACAGAAATAATGAAATAGTCTAATTCAAATAAATAAATATATATATGTAGACATCCATCCATTTTCTTCCCCTTTGTCCATTTCTGAGTGGGTGGGGGTGGAAATCATCCGCCACCTAATTACCAGAGCGCCAACCCCTCACTGATCCTCCAGCAAGTGGTGAGTCCACAGGAGGCAGCTCTGTCGCCTAGCCTTAATCTTTCAGCTGGGGCTTCAGGCAGTGGGGTTAAGTGTCTTGCCCAAGGACCTAACAACAGCAAAAATCAGTGGTCGGTGATCCACTGATTTGTGGATGAGTGGATCACTGATCCACAACTTAGTCGGTGAAGAAGGTCTTGTGGCCAAGGCCAATGCTCTACCAACTGAGCCACTTTCACCATAATTGTCCAACTGAAAACTTAGGGTTTTATGCAGTTTCACAGACATGAAACTGAGCACTGCAGTAATTAAAACGTCAAGAGGAAGCAGTATCTACAGTATCTAGGAAACAGAGTTATTTTGACACATATTGATAATTGTGGGATTCAACTACGCTGAAGCAGTAAGTTCATGGAAGAAAAAATACATATAATTCATATAGCACATTTTATGCAGGACTACACCTCAATGTGCTTCACAAAGGTGACACAAACAACTGACAAAGACTGTCAGTTGTTTCTCCATAATGTGAGGGTAGGAACGTCCCAAAAAGCGGGTCTTTAGTTTAGACTTAAAAGAGGTTTTTGACAGATCACATTTGATAAAAGGCAACCGAATGTTATTTTTGCAATAAGCATAATGGGAAAAGGAGCTTCTGATTTTCATGCTCACTTGAGGGGCATTAACTAAGTAAAAAACACACAATTTTAGGTGAGTTTAGTTTAGTTAGACTGCAGAGTTCTGCATAATCACCAATAATAAGGTAGGAGGAGATCTAAATCAATATTGTATTGATAAGCGAATATCACTAAACAAGATTAACAATTCCAAAGAAGACACTAGAGAGGTCAGAGAAATTAAGTTGGGGAAAGGTTTAAAGCGTATTTGGGCTACAGAGAGGCTTTAGAGAGCACTGTTTAATCCATCATCTGGGAATGGAGGAGTACGGCACAGATGCAACCCTACAAAGACACAGGTGTCCACCCAAAATAGAGACCTTTTGTACACCATGTTTTTTTTTAAACACAACCTACCGTGGGTCAAAAAAGTATTTAGTCGGCTACCAGTTGTGAAGGCTGCAATAATCATCATAGCAATACCTCAACTACAATAGACAAAATGAGATTGTGTCTAGTTTTAAAGAAGGTCTTTGAAAATTATGGTGAAAATTTTATCTCAAAATGTTGATCATTGTTGGCATAAAGTTGAGTGAAGTGTAAGTCTTCACTCAGTCTTCAACTCAGTCTCCAGGAAATCAGCAGGGTCACATCGTATGGTTTACATGTATTTATTTTTTGCAGCACTGGGAGCAGTAACTGACGGACAGAAAAAAAGGAAATTTCTTCTGTGTGAGATCAATAAAGTCTATCTTATCTTATCATAAATATGCGCAATAGACTTGAGCACTCACTGCAACATCTTGCAATTACTTTCGTGAACATAATGAAAGTTAAGTATAAATAGTAGGGGTGTCAAAATTATCGCGTTAACTCACGTTAATTACATTTACAATGCTGCGTGTGAGATTCCCTCTGGGAATTCAAGTTTTAAGAGAATACGCGCGTGACCGCGGGGCTGTTGTTTGCTGTGAACTGAAGTCCGCCTCCTCCGCGGCCGCTCTGGCTGTGAGCCGCTAACAACAACACGGCTGTGAGCGGCTGTGAGTGAATGGCGCCGCGGTAACATGGTCATATAAGACCAAACACGCCACAGAACTATTGTCTGCATGTTGTGTTCGTGTCTTTGCAACCTGTGCGTGACCTGTGCACGCAAATACTCCGCTAAAGTGTCCGTGTCTCCTCCTGAAACTAAACTAAACTGAAACGCTGAATTAAAGCTGGGGTACGTAAATTTCCCCCTTTCATCAATAGCTCATTTTGGTTGTGCCCAAATGCAAGAGGTTGTGAGCAAATCTAACAGATTTAAGTACATTTGTTATGAATGACAATGTGTCATTATATTTGATAATCTCATTTAACTTCAATAGGACTGATTTGAAATAGAATGCTAAAAATGTGATTAATCGTGAGTTAACTCACCATTACTGTGCGATTAATCAACAAAAAATGTGTTATCGTTTGACAGCCCTAATAAATAGTGTCTGAAGATGTGTCAAACCTAATGAGCAATGCAAAACAAAGCTCTTCAAATTATCAATGACTCTTCTGACCACACTGGGAAAGCCATGTTCCAGCTTCTTTGCTCTAGAGAGAGATATCCTTGAGATGCAGGACGTCTCGCCAGTTTCTTTCCACAAGCTGTACTAAGACTGAACAGGGCACTTTAATTGGTTGATTTTTGTCACTGTGGAAGATCACAGTGTACTTTGTGTTTTCCTTTGTTGTCGTATGTGTTTTGTCGTCTACTGTGCACAATGGAATATTTATGCAAAAATAACCAATGTGTTGCAAATGGAAAGTTAAGTGTTATTTACATCAGGGGTGTCAATCTTTCAGTATTTGGATTATTGGAGTCAAAATTCAATTCAATAACAACAATCACAGATTGACATCACTCAAACTATTTAAACGGGTGTACATAAAAAAGCCAATGGAGGGAATAGTTAAAAAGTCCTTGTTTGAGCATAGACAGAAAATCCATACAAAATCTGATGATTTACTAGCCTGGTCTCAACACACCATCGTAGAAATTTCATTTCGTACTAAGGTCTGGATTGGCTCCGCTCCATTAACAAGTAGGAGGGGTTAACTATTTTAGCAGATTGAAAAGATTGGAAATGAGTCACAAGCATATAGCCTAGCATCTAGCAACTAGCATCTTTTCACTAACAGAACCCGACAACTGTTGACGTCCCTGATACCTGCTCACAACACCCGCCTCCCCCGTTCGCTGATTGGTTGGATCGGATACAACCGAGATAACTGCAGCCACTAGGACCAGACCCAGACTTCCATCCATCCATCCATTTTCTTCCCCTTAAAGACCTTATGCCGGGTTTGATTTATTTAGAAATACAGTTTTAATACCATTTTATATTAGAAGAGAACTACTAAAGGTTTCAAAATCAGTTGTTGTTTTTTTTGTCTGATCCCCCCAAATCGAAATAACCCCATAGCAACGCCCTTAGAGACGAAAAAACTTCACAGCCCTTGGTGACGTCAGAGCGGGTACGTTTCAACGCTGTAAGTTGTTTACAATTTGGTATTCGTTCTTTTTACGCGGATATTCAAGATGACAAGGCCGTGTACAGCGAGTCTAACATTACTACTAGATTATAATACTTTGTTGGCACTGAGATAGTCCAGTGTTTGTGTAGATGGAATGCCAATCCAGATACTGAGGTTCAAATCCCACCTCAGACACATTTTCACTCTCAAAACGGCAATTTATGTGTAGTGAGCAATTGTCACCTGTAGAGTGCAGTATTGTGTTGGGCATCAGTGGAGAGAAGAGAGAAAAGGCAGTCCTGTGGCATAGATCCATGGTTTTCAATGCATGGGCGTTACCCGCTATGACGTCACACACAGGTTAGAGCAAGTTCTTTTTATAAAATATAGGATTTTTTTTTGCCAGAATCTATTTCAGATCGACATTGTCATGCAATTTTGATATCCACAATTTTTTTTTTTAAACCCGGCATAAGGTCTTTAATCCATTTCTGGGTCAGGGGGGTGGCAGTCAGAGCTGCACCCAGTACAAATAGCACCAGCCCCTCACTGGAACTCCTGCAGGTGATGAGTCCACAGGAGCCTTGATCTTTCAGTGGGGGCTTTAGGCAAAGTGGGCCTGCCCAAGGACACAACGACAGCAGAAATCAGTGGGAGTCGTGAAGTAGGCCTTGTGGTGGGCTCGAACCCACACCCTTCAGGCCAAAAGGCCATTGCTCTACCAACTGTCGCCCAGACCCAGACGTACATGTAAGAAATGATAATTTTTGAAGTTTACGGATGGCTAAGAGCAGGCTTGATCATCACTGGTATGGCCTTCATTCTCGTCTCCTTGTATTGTTTTAATCAATGGGAAGTAATCCAATCCAATCCAATCCACTTTATTTATATAGCACATTTCATAAACACGCAGTTTCCAAAGTGCTGCACAACATGCAAAATTGCAACAAATAAATAGGTAAATAAGTAGGTGTGGCTTCACCAGGCTACATCCTTAGAGAAACCTCATCACAATCTGAATGTTATCACCGTATCAGCGAGGCCGATCTAATAAATAGCAAGACAGTCAGTACATGCCCTCATACAAGTGAAAAAATAGACTTCTTGTGGGTGTATATACAAAAAATAACAAAACAGAAACATCTTTGTGTGGTTTGTCAGCTTATGCTCAAATCAGTCTAATGAATTAATTATCTTCATTAAATATATTCATTCAAAATGACGAGAATTTGGCAGGCACACAAAGGAGTGATTAAATAAAAAGCTGTAAATTGGAAAAATGACAAGCCCCAAGAGAAATGTGTTTGGGTCTGAAAGCATGACAAAAGGATGATTGCAGATGATTTCTTGTATTTGTAAAAACCGTGTGCAGGGGATGTTTTGTACTGGCTTTAAGAGATATTGCGTTTGTACATTTTTCATCTGAGGCTGAAGGACGCTGCAGTGTGGAGGAGGCTTCGCTGTTTCAACCTTGTGCACTCTGGAACTCTTGAACTATTTAGTGCTTTCCATCGATAAAATAGTCAAGGTGAAAAATGAAAACATCATGCAATGAAAAGGTGAAAAGATGGCAGTTATGAACCTGTATGGAGGAGAAAAACATATTTCATTTTTCAAGGG